TGAATTTATTTGTCCTATTCATGGATGTTTTAAAAATCTGGCCTATTTGAAATCTTCATAACATTTGTAACCAGGAGCTCAATTTCTAGGCCTACTTGTGGTCTAATCATCAGTGACTTAAAAAAAATTCCAGCTACCTATTCTTCAACATCACTAAATATAAGCAAAAGTTAATGATTTAGAATTCATTACCAACATATTAAGGTCTTTCATCTCTGTTAGAATTGAGGGCATTTGAAATGATGTTACACCACCTTTATATTAGTATGCCTGAGAGAAAATGCTCTTGATTTGATATCAAATGGGCCTAAACTGACTTGTTTACATCACTTACAGTGTGGGAGGTTAGTAATTTAAGACCTGAAACTATAGTCCTTACTCAGACTGGTAAAAGCTTTGAGTCAGGCCTGCCCTGTCTTCTGAGTATAAATGTGGTGTGTATTATGTTTTGTCCTGGAGTTTCATAAGGTTTAAACTCTGAAAAGAACTTTTCCACACAGCATTTCATTGTGGTTTGTGTTGTACAAATATGTGTGAAAGCACTTTAGTTATCTGTGTTTTAATTATTTGTGTGGACAAAACTGACTAAAATATCATTTTGCTGATAGTAACATTATTAAGGAATGAACTAAAATTACCTCTGCCTGAATTTCTGCCTTTGAGGATGTAGCGGGCAAGGAACAGGACCATCTTGCTAGCCACTATCTACTAAAGAAAAACCTTTTCAAAGGGTGCCATCAATTAATGTGAACCTCTTAGTGACAGTAACACAAAAATATCTAGTCCTTTCTTATGTGAAAATAAGTTTATTAAAACTACTCATTGGCTAAGTGTAGTGAGCTTGCTAATTTTTTAGTTTTTGTATAAGTGTGGAAATTAGCTGGTTTCTGACAGGGGAACAAAGAAATGCAATTGGAAATCAGGTTCAGTGCTTTTCTGCTTCCACCCGAAAAGCAGATTATACTCTCTAAATATTTTTTTCAGGGAGAACGTGCCTTTTTGCCGCAGTACTTACTTGGCTAGAGCTGACTAGATGGATTAATAAAGTGGGTTTGGGGCTGAATCAGTTAATTTAATGTCCGATCTGTACTAAAAGAGCTGAGTTAGCATCCCCCTCCCACTCCGCCTTTTCCCCATTCATTTTGTGTCTTTGTATGGTTCTGAAGCCATTTTACAACACAGGTGACAAAATAAATACATTTCACTTGTGCTTTTTGCAGGTGCCATGATTAGTTTTCTCATAGTATTTCTTCGCTTTTACTGGAAGCAACCCTGAAAAGTCAAGATTATTTAAAAATATCCGAAGTGTTCCTGATTGCTTATTAAGATCAACTTCGCAGAAAATGTGAATGATACTGCCCTTAAAGAAGACGATTCAAATAGTCTTAAAAGCACAGACCGTGGAACCCGCGTTTATCGTTATAATGTATTCATGGGGGGTTGTAGTTATAGTCCTTTTAAATAAAAGAAGCCTTATTATTGTAGCTTTCTTCCACGGTTAAAATCATTCTAAGAAGATCACTTTGGGTGCCACCTCGGAGGTTTATTTTATCTTGCAGCACCAGAGGAAGATTTGGCACGTCTGGTTAGAGTCAAATAAAATAAAGTTAATATTATTTCTAAAGGTCGAGTCTTTCACTTTCTGGTCAAGAGACTAAGAAGCATAGGGAATATTTTTTCTCATTCGGCTGCAGATGATTTTAGCACATTAGGGAAGGTCTTGAAAACCAGGAACAGGAAAACACGCGTCAGTCCCCACTTCTATGGAAACCTGAACCCAAACCCATCTCCTTGCTACCTCCATGTGGCATAAAGGGTACCTTGGATAGAGACGCTTCTGCCGCCTTGAAATCTGGGGGTAGGTGGGTGGGAACCCAGCGTCCAAGAGGAGACAGCGGGAGATGCTCGCCGACGCCCAGGGCTTTGGACCTTGCAGTCGGAAGGGCAGCCGTCACATCTGCACCCTCCCAGTGTCATCAGCATTCCCGCCGCGTGTCCAGCTTCCCCTGAAAATACTCGCCCTGCTAATTCGCTGCGGAGGCATCGGGGTTGTAAACCCTCGGCGCGGCACCTTCTCTTCGGCGACGGCAGAAAAAAATAATGAATCGCCGCTCGCCAGAGACATAAACACGCGCTGTCTGAAAGCCCGGGGGGGCGGGGGCGGGGGTCGCCCCGGCTGCCCCCTCAGGCTGCCGGCGCAGCCGGCTTGGCTGGCGGAGCCCACTGGGAACGGGGGTCGGCGTGCGGGAGCGGGCTGACCGCGGAGCCCCTCAGGCATGGGGGGGGGGGGGGGCTGAGACCAAGCCGCAGCAAGGCCCGCGGAGGAAACTAACGAAATAAATCAGACTGTTATTTAAGGCGCGGAAATTTAAAATATTTGGACAGGAAGAGAAAGGGAAAAGAAACCGTAGAAGCAAAGCTAACGGTTTCGGAGCCGCGCGTCCCCCCCTCGTCCTCCCCCGCGGCTTTGCTCGCCTGCAGCGGCCCGAGGGGCTGCTCAGACCTGCCCCGGGCGGACCAGGGGGCTGGGTTCAGCCAGGGAACCCCTCTGAGACCCGGCTTTATCTAACCCTCTCTTGAGAAGGGGTTGTAAGCAAATCCGACATTTTGAACGCATTTGTTGTGGGGCAGATTTTTCAGACTGGCTTCTGGTTCCTTGGTGAGAAATGTCCCTCCCCCCTCCCCGTCCCCAATCATGTAAAATACAACAGTCTCTAACAAGCAAAATACAGAAGCTTTTCCTTTCCTGGCTTTTTGGTGGGAGATTCACCAGTTTAGTAAGTAAATAATAACAATGTATGTCTGCTTTTAGTTGTTCAGTGATTTTCCCAAACCTCTTAAAATGAGATAATTTTCTGTGCGTTATATTTTTAAAAGCTTGAAATGATATTTTTCAATGATTTTTTGCGACTTTGCATTAATGAGCCCTGCACTGGCACTTAATAGTAAGTTTATTTATTATCCCACCATAGAATAAAACATTTCTTTCATTCCTCTAGTTGCACAGATTACCATACGAAGAAATTTCATTCATGTAGTTAAATACGCAGTCATTTACTATATTAATAGCGACGCTGAATTCATTTTAATATGCCGAATGCTAAGAATTGATTCAATACCTTTCCAGCATAATGACATAATGGGTTTCTTTATCTGCATTAGTATTGGACAGTTCATTCTCTGTTAATCTCAGGACATAAAGATTATTTCATTCTATTTCAAAGATGCTAAAATAGTTTAAACTATATTGGTTCCATACAGCAATACTTTAAATTTTGTCCTGGCTCAAATGGAATTCAGCAGTCACTGTCATTGTCCTGAAGTCAATTGCAAAACAAAGGCCAAATCCAGCAACCTTGCTAAAAGCAGTGTAATCCCTTTGGATAGGCTCAACTCCCCAAATTTGCATTTGTACATTGTCTGTTCTTTGTTTATCCCTGTATAGTTATCTATTTTGTGCTCTTTTCATTATATTTAGTCTGTGCTTGCAGAATCTGTTACTGTTTGTGTACTCCTCTCAGTGCTACCTTCTTTATTCCCCATTCCTCAAATGCTATATTAATCTCTGCTTCTATCAGCAGGACGCAATAAACTATCTCAATATTACTTCATTCTAATTTATACACGACACTATTTTGGATCTCTTAGTAAATATTAAACTGAGATATTCACAAACGTGGGAATTTTTAACACTAGTTTTTGTTGGTAGGCTATTGGTAGGGAAACACAAGTCATTTCTGAAACCACATTAAATTAGCAACTTTTTTTCAATATGGGGATCCTTATTAATGTAGAGCTCTTTTTTGTCTATGCTAAGTAAACTTTAGAGTTTTTTTTAGAAAAGATAAACTGACAACTCCCTTCCTCCAAGTCAGAAGCTATCTCCAACTAGACTGTACAGGGTGCTCACTACAGTAGCAAAAATGTATCTTTACTTTCCAGTAGTCGTTTTGTAGTTATTGTAAACTTCGTGATGTAAAAAAGGAAAATAATAGTATTTTAGCAGGTTTCAGAGTAACAGCCGTGTTAGTCTGTATTCGCAAAAAGAAAAGGAGGACTTGTGGCACCTTAGAGACTAACCAATTTATTTGAGCATGAGCTTTCGTGAGCTACAGCTCACTTCATCAGATGCATACCGTGGAAACTGCAGCAGACTTTATATATACACAGAGAATATGAAACAATATCTCCTCCCACCCCACTGTCCTGCTGAAGTTTAATTTCCAGTCTTGTTTCTGAGAAATAAAGAACTGTTTACAATTGAAATGTCAAAGAGTAAACAAAATGAACTTTAAATCAGGGGAGTGCTTTTCAACATTATTTATACACATTGCTAGCTAGAGCTTGGTCTCATTGGAAAACACCCTCCATCTAAAAAGGGGTCTGAAGTCCGTTGTAACTCGGCCATATTCCTTGCAATGAATGCCCTTATTTTTGAACCCAGGGGCGTTAGTTTTGGAGCCCAGGCTGTTTTTAGTAAGGCATTAATTAGACCGGTTCGGTTTAAATTAAAACTGGATGCTTGTAGACCTCAGGAGGGAGATCTAGCTTAGCAGATGGCATAGAAGCAAGTCAGCTCCACAGATGAACTTTGCCTTCGGATTTAGAGAACGGTTCCCTGCGGGTGTGGGGAGAAAGTGAGAAAACATAGTGGAGACTCAGCCTTATAGCGAAACGATGAAGCATGTGAATGCCTAGTTGTAAAGATGGGGAAAGAATGAGGACATCACGCAATGTTTTAGGCTGAGTGGCAAAGTGACAAGGCCATTCTGTGAGGACCAGCACGGGTTTCTTTGTGGCCATGTAACCCTATCGGATTGTGAATTGCACTCCAAGGTTTTAATAATTCAAAATATGTTTCTTTTAGTAATCTTCGTGTAATTTATTGTGTAGATTCTTTCATAAAACGTGCACCACATGCTCCATCCTATTTAGGTGATTGATTTACAAATTATTTATGAACAAAAATTATAACATTGAAAATGAATGCACACAGCTCCATCTGTCAGAGAGGTTTTTAATCAAGAACACAGCAATGTGACAGCGAGTGTATAGTAAACATGTGATAAACAGTTTCTGGAAAAAAAATTTTGTTTTCAAACAATGGTTATTGATTCTGGGGGGTAAAACCTTTGCTGAAAAATTAAAATAATCTTATCTAAAGTATATTCCCCCTTTCAATGCTATTTTGTTGATATTTGTAAATGTGTTCGTTTTACATTGATTTGATTCCATCTCTTTAATGCAGTTAAAATGTTTAGAATATTAAAAATAAAGCACTTAAACCTGCTGATCTGCCAAACGACTAACACCTATAACATGGTATAAAATGTTGACAGTAAACTCAGTCCGACAAGGTGCTGAGCATCGTCAGCGCCCATTGCATTCATGGAGGCAGAAGGCGCTCAGCGCCGCGCAGCATCGGACGGTACGTGACTGTGGGTCTCCGAAATGCTCCCAACCATATTCAAACATTAAAATATTGTCAATTAAAATATTCAGGGTTGTGTTGTGTTTCACGTGCAAGCGATAATATAATGTTATGAGAAGCAAACGTGATTCCCTCTAAATTCCATTGTATTCAAATATCCACGTTTTGTGAGATGCAGCATAAGTAAAATGATTAATTAAAATAAAAAGTTTGGTGGAAAGCAAATATTTCTTAAATAGAGTCTACCTTCTCTTCGATTGTGGAGTGACCAGAAAACTGGGATCTCTCTGTTGGTATCACAGCCTTATTATACTCTTTCCTCTGACAATGGTTGTCTGCTGCTTGTTTTGAAACTAGGAAAGTGTATTGTTCCGTGCACAGAACAACCAAGCTTAGCTGTTTTAACCTCTGGCAAACAAATAAGCCACTTACATTGTTGCTGTTAATCAATTTCAGAAGCAGATTTGTGAAAGATTAAATACAGTGAAAAAGAAAAGTATAATCTCAATCTAGAAAGCAAATTACCTAGTTCTACAAGCTCTTATTAGTGTCCAAATGCAGCTATTTCCTGACACTTGTAGGGCCCCATCCTGCTGTCTTTACAGGCCAAACGTCCTTTAAATTCAAGCGTTGCCTGAACCACAGGCTACACCCTTTAATGTCCTGTTTTGTCAGAGACAGTGCTTAAAATTGTGAAGCATGATCTTGAGAAAAAATATCACAGTAAAACGTTTTTTAAAAGTAAATGTCAGAAACATAAAGCATTTTAGCATATAGCTTGTTTAGAATTAGTGACCTAAAACAAACGAAGAAAGTGCACAAATATACACTGCAAGAACTAAGCAAAAGCGATCAACATGTGTCCATGTTGTGTCTCTTCTAGCATTGTGCGGATGGCAGGTGCAGGGCAATGCTGTTGGTGTGATTTGTAAATATATTCATTTGCTACACAGTCTACACCTTTTCAGTTTCACCAGACTTGCACTAGTTATTTAAAGAAGAAGAAGAAGAAAATAAGTTGTAATAAATGTTATTAAAAACAAGGGCTATACGCTTTGATGTCCAACTAAGAAGTTGTCCGTGTTTGATTTAATTCATGTCTGCCGCTTCTGCCCTTAAACTGCTGCCTTCCATTAGTTTAACTACATCGTTCCTCTTGTACAGCTTAGCCAAGTCGTAGGCAGTGTCTCCCTTCTTGTTCTGATGTTCCACCTTGCTTGCTGTATGCTTAATAAGGAATTCCACTACTGGGAGGTGGCCTTCTCTAGCTGCCAAGTGCAATGGCAGGTTTCCGTCATTATCCTCAATGTTAACATCAGCGTTAAACTCCAGTAAAGTCTGCAGCGTGTCCAGGAAACCCGCTCTGGCTGCATCATGAATTACAGCGAACCCTGTACTGTCTTTCAGATCAGGATTAGCACCTGTAATTAGCAACCTCCTGGCAATTTCAGGATTCCCAAGTTTCATCACCTAAAGAGGAAAAATAAGAGTTTAATACTCCAAATAATATTAGAACTACTCGTTTCACTCACTTGTTTGAGAATCTTCATTTTTCTATTTGAGTTTTGTCACTGTTGGAAACCTATTTTACCTATGCAGAGGAACCCTGGTAGAAAATTGATGTAAGAGTAAACTTAACTTTCCAATTTCTACACTAGCCACAGTAAATTTACGAATAATTCTATTCTTTCAGTGAGAAATATATTTCTATCTCACAGGAGATTAATATCAAAATGAGCTAGTGTGGAATATTGAGGTTATCATACTTTTTTATAATGTTGCCTTCTATCTCAACTTTTTCGTTGCTAAAATCTATATATAAATCTGTTTCATTTACCATAAATATTGAGAAACTTTAATTAACTTCTTTAAACTCATTAAGTATAAGATGGATGACTTTCTGAGGCTCTGATATTTATGCTTTCAGTAACACAAAATGTAGGATAAACTCTCCAGTATGTGTTTAAATTGTCTCTTTCTTGTCATTAAATGTCAGTATGACCTTATAAATGTGCCGTAGTTCTATATATAAAGAAAATAATCCTTCAACGTTTTCTGCAAGATCTGTGCTTCATTGTGTGCTGCCCAAAATGGAGAACTTAAGAGAGATGACCTAAAGTTCGCATAAGTTCTTGTAAAACAAACATTTTTATCTCATAGCTTCAGAATTTCTGTCTAAGCAATCTGTCAGTGTATGTTGTTAAAAATAACACTCCTAAGAAGAGCGATCAGTGTTCCTAATGATTCTTTTTGTTAAGTAAAACTTTATTTCTTTAACCTTGTCTGATCACATCATTAACCTATTATAACTGAGCACACGGACATCTCTGATTAGGGGTTTGAGTGGCTTGGCCTGACCCCAAAGTTCGCCAGAACTTCTGTCCCTTCAGTCTTTAAAAGAATGAAACAACATAGATCGTTTATAATTTTCCCATGTTACAGTCTATGTTTTTTCAAGACCTAGTATTCAACTACTCTAGCAAGGAGACAAATTTATTATCAACATCAGATAAGGGAAAAATACCTTCTTTACTTCTTTAGAAATTTTCAACCGATATCTTGAAAATCTTGCAAAGAAGCTTTCTTTTACTAGCATAAACAAGGATTACAGTTACACTAATGTCACCACAAATTACAAATTCTACAAGGCAGTTGTTGAAAGTCTGCTGTTATTGAAAAATAAATGTGTATTAGGCTTTGTGAAAACGGCACATATAAAATACATATTATTATAGGATAGGGTAGGGTTGGGATTGGGGAAAGGTTATCTGTGATAAGAGATAACTGAATGTTTCCTTTACATTACCTGCCATACCTTTCAATTCTGGATAGAGATTATAAGAGGTACGGCTATACCTCTGGAAAATAAGTGAGGGCATCCTCCTCTTTTTTTCCCCCTTTTTTCTTATTGTTTGGTAAATCCTAGGCGTATCTGTTATTCTTTCGGGGAGCCCATCCTCGATTCCTTGCGCACCCTAAAACTTCAGTGTGATACAAAAGGTAATGCTCGTCGGATTTAGGATACAATTGTGGCGTCAAATATCAGTGATATTGTAATTTGGGGGCTGGGGTGTTGGGGGGGGGGGTAAGAGAGGTCTGTGGAACAAACCTGAAGGAGGTGAAACTCAATATCTGAGGCCTGCATGACTACGCATCGTCAAAAAGAAAAAGTGCGGAGGAAAATATGTATAAGTAGATTAAATTAGCATAACTGCACACGAAAATACAATTTCACTTTCAGCCGGCTCAGTACCGAGTGAACCACATTGGAGACTGTTGATTGAAAATATTCTTGACCTCTGTCACCTACCCAGAGCATGTTTCAGGTTTATGCATACTGAAAATAAGTAGACAGACAACTCTGGTTTGATTGGTGTTATGGTTCACTAAATCGGTGATGATTAAGCTGCAATAAAAGTAGATATGATCAGATGTATGCTCATGTTTAAGATAGCTGGGTGCTATGCCACGGTGTAAAATATTTCCCAGTGTAAGTCTGTTGATCGCTATTTTTGTAAAGCCCTATATTTTACTGCAGCGCAACTGAATTTTTCAGCCTCATTTTAAGGATAAAAAATTTGGCAAAGCGTTTCCTGATTTCCTACAGAAGTTAGTCTGTGTGAGGTTTCGATACAAGGTCTTTCATTCTCTTATAAGGTGTCTGCAGTGTCACCCAATCCCCTGCCTATGTGATAATAGTAAAAATAGAGCAAGGATAATCGTATAGTTCTTGCGTTTAACTGAAACAGAAAAATAAGAATGATTATTGTGTTCAGACAAGAATTTCCTCTTTTCCAGATCCTGCATTTTGATTTTAAGCCAAAGACCCAGTAAGTGTCTGGATTTCAGTTGCAAACAACACAGTGCCTGAAAAGAACATTTCAGAAGTGAACAGTAGTTCGTATTTGAAAAGAGAAACAAGTTTTTAAAAGTGTGAACTTAAACAAAACAAAACTATGACTCTAGTTTCACATTTCCTTACACAGTGTACAGTATAAATAGCCACAGAATTTCACCCTAGTTAAACATAGCCAGTTTCACGTTTTCATCTGTATTCTAACATTTTCGCCATCATTTTGATGATCTTAAGAGAAAAAAACTTTAATCGGTTCCAATAGTTAGCGGTTGGATCGGTTCCAACTACTGCCTCTAAATCTAAATACTGAAAATTAGGACGTACAATCGTATGGCCTCCGAAGTGAAATCTTTTGAGTTCATCCACTAGTGTCCGGTTTGAAAATACTATTTTTATTCAGCCTTAATTATGAATGGGTAGGCAAGTGATTCAGACTGAACTCTAACTCCTTCGCCTAACTGTTGCTGTACCGCTAAAGGTACTCAGTGCCAGGGCAGCATGTTTCCACATGCAAAAAGGTCATTCGTCACAAACACCCTATCGAGGAAAAGTACCATCCACTCCAGAATAAATACTCGAGAAAATTCATGTATTTTTCTACCCTATGTTTTTTTTTAAAAACAACACAAAACCTCAAATAATAATCCGTATGTGTTTACAATTCTTCTATGAAACAGTGCTCAGCTAGGATGGTTTCTTTTCATCTCGCCAACCTTTTCTTTGCCTTCCTTCCCCTTCCCCCAATAATAAAATTGGATGAAACTCGCAATCTATTTGATATTGAGGATGATCCCCGTTTAAAATAATGTTTTTTGGCCAGTTGTATTTCAAGTACGTCATTTTTGGGAGTTAGAGCCACTAAAGTTATAAAATATGGCAACCAACTAGGTTAAAACAAATACAGAAATTTTGTTACACCCGCCTATTTAGAACCTTGTCTTTCTGCAACGCGGGTCACGTAGGTAGCAGTGGTGAAATATTTTCTCTCTCTCTGGATACCAACCTGCAGCGCAGTCCTCCCAAATCCATTTTGGGCATTGACGTTTACATTCGTTTGCAACAAATTAGTAAGTTGCACTAGGTCCCCCCTTGCAGCTGCGGACGCCAACTCGTTCCCCAAAGGCTCGGCCATTCTTTAGGGTGACTGACGATCGAAAAAAGGTGAGTTTGGGGTTTTTTTTAACCAGGCATGACATCGGAGACTGACAGAAGGACTGGGATGGTTAATCTTCTGGAGTAGACCTTGTAGTAAATACTCGTAAAAAACTGCTTGCCAAGAGCCCGCCCCTAAATTCACACGTGATTATTCAGCAAAACTGCAGCTCCACTTGAAAGAATATTTCTTTGCTTCTACACGTAGAGTAACTCACATTAAGGACTTGGGCCATTTTAAAGGGGAGCTATATTAATATATAATATCTTATATATGTTACAGATAACATATATACACATACCTAGGAGGCTAACTCAGACTGAAGAAGAAAACAACCCACCCTTATTCAAGTCGAGATTTGAGACTCAGCAGGAACAGCTACGCCGAGAATTCTTCGTAAGCCGCATGCATCCACTATCGGTTGGGGTGCCCCCCTTCATCGCGGGCAGCTGCGTTTATTCCAAGCCAAGTATGCCAAAAAGGAAGAAGAAGAAGAAAAAAAGCCAGCCAAGGGGAGACAGCAGGAGGCTGATCCGCGGCACAGCTCACACACTCTCTGCCTTCCCCCGGACGGGTCTCGGTTTCAGCGAATCTTCCCCGCAGAGCCCCGGCGGAGAAGGCGCCCGGGGTCCCCAGCGGCTGCCGCCCCAGGCGCAGGCTCGGCGGCCCCCAGCAATGGTGGCTCGGTGCAGTCAGAAGGGCGCCGGGTCCTGCGGCGGTCCGAGGGCGGCTGCATGCCGGTGCCAGCGCCTCCGCCAGGGCTCAGGGGCCGGAGGAGAAGCCCAGCGGCGGCGGCGGCGGCTCCATCGCGCCGGCCGGGGCGATCTCCGAGGTCCACAGCGGCATCACGGCTGCAAGCCGCGGGGTGAGCCCTTCCCGCCTAGGGCTCGCCGTGCCGCAGCTCGGCCCCCTGGGCTCCGCCGGCCCTTCGGATCGCGGTGTCCCTCTTTCGCTCCCCGCAGCGAGCGGGCCGGGAACAGGGGCGGGAGGAGGCAGCGGGTCTCCGGGGCTGCGAGGTGACCCCGACCCCCCCTCCCCCGCCCCCGGAGCAGGGAAGCGCAGGTCCGGCTCTCCTGCGCCCAGCGGCGGCCGCGGCCGCGAACCGGCGGTGCCACCGTCCCAGCCCTGCCAAGCCGCCGCCGCCGCAGTGACAGCCGCGACTTTCCTCCTCGCCGGGCTCCGCCAGACCCGCCGCCGGCTGCCCGGCCAATCGCGGCTTCTGTCGCCCCCCGACACCCGGCCGGTTTCTGCCTCTCTCCTTCCCCTTCCCCGGTTTTAACCTCATCAGCTTTTTTTGAAAAGAAAAAAAATTTGAGCGCTTTTTGAGTTGAAATACCCGCCCACCTTGTAACGGCAGAGATTTAAGGAGGCCCGGCGGAGTTGCTTTGCCGCCTCCAGGCGAGCAGGAAGGCCTGCGTCGGCGCACACCCTCCCCTTCGCCTTCACGCACCTCGCAGGCCCCAGCAGCCCCGGGCAGCGCGCTGAGCGGCAGTTTGCACGCTTAGCCTCTTGTTTCCCGTGTGGCATCCAAGGTTAAAATCATGCCCCAGAAGAACAACCCCCCTCCACCCCCACCCCTCAGATTGCCTTGCAAGAGGGCCGCTGGTGAGGCCTAAAGAGGAGATTCCCCTTGACACTGCTGCAGGGCCAATCCCTAGGACCCCAGGGCTGTGGAAAGGTGTCTGTGGGCAGGCACCCCACGCTGTTCCTGCCACACTCTCTTGCTGTAATATCAGGGCACTAGTTAAGGACAGAGGTGCGTGTCCATAAGCAGCCTTCCAGTGGGCAGTCCATAGAAGGGTCACCGGGCCCGGTCCTTTTTCTCATTCAAGTAAATGTGGGACGTGCTACTGAAATCAATGAGAGCAGCATCGGGCCAACTGAGTGCAGCGAGCATCCCGAAAGGAGGCAGTTTCCAGGTCCTCACACTAAGGCTTGCTCCCTAAAGACAAGGTCATGGCTAAAGGGTCAATGTCAGATGATTCTGACTGTGAACAGCGATAATCCAGGGCAGAAAGCTTTGCTTCTCTTGTCTCTAGCATCCTCGAAAAACTGAAAACTGCCATGTTCAGTGAAAAATACACATGGCTATAATGGAAGAAATGCGGGATCCACTTGTATATCATAGGAGAAGGAAGTAGCGATGAGAGGAAGTGAGGATTTTATTGCCAGAGGTGACTAAAATCATTTGAATTGTAAACGGTTTTAAATACTGAATTGCTCCAAAATCAGTGAGCCTTGGAAGCCTGAATTCCACACAGGTCATCGCTCTGAAAAGTATGCTGTACTTCGCATCAGATTCAGGACTCCCATATAAGTATACCGAATACGTTCTTTTGATAAATACTCTGTCAATCTATTTTCCATGCGTAAGCAAAACGTTCATTTTAATACACACTCTGGCTAACTCAATGAGATGTTAAATGGAGCTGTTTAGAAACAATACCAGATAATTAAAGGAGCCGATCCTGCACTCACTTCTAGGCAAAACTCCCATTGACAACAATGGAAGTTTTGTATGCGTAGGAAGCGCAAATGCGGGGCCTGATTTAAGATACCTAATGCTAGAAATATAATTTGTTTTTAAAGTTTTAAAGTTTTATTTGTTTTGAAATGTAGGCAGTCAAAAAGCAAGTTAAAAGTAGTTAGAAGTACTGCTTAGGCATCTGAGTCTCCTGGCAAAGTTCTGTGGCTTCACAGCCACATTTTCCTATTTTGAAAATGTTTTTCTTTTCTCTGTTTTGTGAAAAAATGACACAAGCAACAAGGGAAGCTGATGAACGGGCTGATACAGTGAATAGCACAGGAAATAGTGAAACTGACTATCCTCACATTGTTGTCAAATGCACAAAGCAAACAAGATGAAAAAAGCACATACTTTTACAAATTCTGTTATAACAAACCTAGCTGTTATAAGTAACAATAGGGAGTAACAGTTTTCTAGGCAGAAGTGTGATATTTTAACTACCTTCAAAGTTAATTCCAGAAATGTATGTTTTCAATAACACTGTTTTTCTGAAAACAGGCATTATATTACAATATTATTTAGGAGAGGGTGTTTCATTAGGTAGCTTGCAAATACATTCTGCGCTGACTTACATCTAGTTCAAGTCTATTAACTTTAATTGAATGATATGTAGGTTAAGTCATTGCAGAAATTGACCCATAAATACGATATTCTTTTACTAATCTTTGTATACGACACTTAAGAAGAATCCTTCTTTTGTTAATAATTTCAGCTCACAGAAGTGACTGGTCATCGTCACAAAAATAGTTTACTTTGAGACACTGAAGGCCTCTCTTTTTTTTTTTCAGCTTAAATTGACCAGGCAGAAAAGTAGCATCATACCACCTGCTGCCTTTTATGTCCTTTTAAAATGTCTGTAGGAAGGAGCACGTTGTTTTTAATTAATCACTGTTAACAATTACAAAGAGACATATCTTATAAACTAGAAAGAGCTGTATCAGCGTCCAACACAACAGTAAAAACAAAAACAACCACCCCAAACCCTCTGCAGACAGATATAATCATCGGACATCACACGGGAGAACTGCAAACATGTACCCACCTGACTTCCCTACCTTCCCAGTACCATTTATAATTTATCCAGTATGTATAGGAAACACCCAGTTTGGGAGTATTTAAGAGTTGTGAGGGGAATAAACGAAGTTATTTATATTATTGTAATCTGGACTGCAACGTAGGTTTAGCATTTTTCATCTTCTTATCATTTTGGTCCCGATCCTGCTACTTATTTAGCTTAAGATGGATACTTTTCGCTTAAAATATTGCTTTGATAAGCACCAGGTAACTAACCTTTGACTACAGCTGATGGACGTGAGTAATATTGCAGCGCTATTTACTAAACTACAGTTTTAAATTACTGACAGAAAATAGCTGGCTTTAATCCAATTTACAAAACTTGCCTTTCAGCCTTTATTATAGTTACTCTGTAGTAATATGTGGGTAGATTGGTTTATAGTTGAGTATATACGGTCTCTGGTATCGAAGCACATAGTGTGTATAGTACAGACTTGTCTGTAATGTCAAACAGTGGAAAAAGGAGATAGTGTGACAGTAATAGCTGTGTCATCTATACATTCTGTAAAGTTAAACCAGAAGGATTAAACTAACAAGGTGTAGTAAATCTCTACTGCAAAACCAGTCAACGTGAATTGGAACAGGAGTACGACAAAGTGGAATATCCAGTTTGAATGACATATTTTGCTTTCCATCCCAAGTAGGGCTTTGATATTGTTATAGTTCACCTTGACATTCTAAAACGATTGTCTAGTCATATGAAACAAACCAAATGCATCATAAAGATCACAGTTCTTATTAGCATCTAGCAATGTGCCTTAATAATTCTATCTCCTGCTATTTTACTGCTTTGTTGTGGGCAAATGGTCTAACCTGCAGACAGATACAATTAAACTTTTCGATGTTCGTCTGCAGCTTGTAACTTGCATGTAATGTTTATTTCCCTAAATCACCCTCCCTTTCTTTAATGGCTTCCATTTGTGGCTTATTCTTTCTCTATTTTCCCCTCCCCCCTCCTCCCTTTTAGTATCAGTCCTGCCATTATTTTTCTGATCAGCAGGAAGCCCATATATTCTGAACAAACGCGAAAATAAAATCATTCACGAACTAACTTTATGTATCTTAAAATAGAAAAGAATATCTAGAATCGCAAATATGTTGTAATGTAGATCTTGTCCATCGTGTAATGTTAGGAAGGCTGTGTGACTGATTCTGTGTTTGACCTTAGGTGGCAGCGAAGTAACTAGAAATTATGCAGGAGGTGGAATAAAACAAATTGGATTAATTAGCCAGTTAAAGAGTCAAACTGTGTATATAGCCAGAGGAGAGATGGAAAACATTAGGGGACATATATTGACAAAATAACAAAGAACGTTGAAAACTAGGACTTGCATAAATATTATGAAACAAGTTTAGTGATTATATGTGATGGAGCTGAGACCTAAAGTGCTGTTGTGGGAAACCTAAGAGTAAGGGCGGGCTATTATGCATATTAACATCTGTTGGGTCATAAACCTATGAAACCTATGTCAAATTGGTTGTTTCCCATATGAGAGGAGTTACAAGGACTGAGAAATTAATCTTGCACACCTAGCCATCCCTTTTCTTTTTTTCTCATTAAAAGGAAGTCACTGTTTGCCCAGTGTATAAAAAATCATGTACTGTCAAAGGAAAATGAAATTATGTTTAAGGAACAATTAATCTGGCTTGGAGCTGAATCACTGTATTTATAGATGTCACAATGAAAGCACCTGTTTTGTTTATCAGTAACAATCTGTTTATATACAAAGCAACCAGATATTGTGGTACAGAAAGGCACAACTATCTCAGTGCTGCATTAATCATAACCACAACAGATATAGCTAAAACACTTCTATGGGTGTTCTCTTTGAGAGAGGCATTTCTATGTAGGAGTGTATTTGGAGGGAGAAATGGTATCTGGCTTAGGCCTCAATGGGACAATAATGATTTGACGTTTCATCCTGTGATTCATAGCTCCACTGAGTTACACCTTAATTCAGGCACACACAGTAGTTTACAACATAAAAACACCTAGGTCTTTGTCATGCTAGATGGGAACAGGTAATCCAGGTCAAACTGGTGATTGCCAGAAAATACGTATAAAGAAATACCCTAATCACCCTACCGATGAACAATTGTTTCAAACGTGAAATAACATTCGTCATTAATATAGAGCTACGTCAAAATGCCAAGCAGAATTAATGAAGTTAAAATAAATCAAGATATTAATTCTCATTGAAAAATAAAGCAGTCATTCATAACCGGGGGAGCTACTTCAAAGGGGGCTTTTAACCCTCAAATGACACTGAGACTGAGAGAGAAGATGGTGAGGTAATAGCTGAGAGAGACCAGCTGAGAGAGACAAGCTTCGGAGTCGTCAGGTCTGGGAAAGGTCCTCGGAGCGTCACAGCTCAGTACAAGACTGAACAGACGCTGAACTATCTGTATCATCTTGTATTTAGCGGTCACCCTATCAGTACCTTTCCCAGAGCTGAAGACAAGCTCAGTGTGGCTCCGAAGCTTGTCTCTCTCACCTACAGAAGCAGTCCAAGGAAAGCTATTACCTCATCCCCCTTCTCTCGCTATAAGCCTGGCACCCACAGGGCTACCCCAACCCTGCATGCTGAGACTCAAGACTGTAGGGCGACGTTTCCTTGTGCAACGAGGCCGACCATGACCTCAGGGAAGGCCTAAACGTGAGCCAAGTGCCCCCTAGACCTGCCAGGCTTTATTCCCCGGGTTGCAGGGAGCGACTCCCTCCTTTGTGATCGTGGCTGGTTTAGAGGCCGGTTCTAAACGCCCCGTGGCGCGGCACGATTTTGCGGTGTGCGTTTTGCAACGAGAGCCCCTTGCAATCAACCCCCTCCCAGCGGGCGCGGCGCGGAGCCGGGCCACCGTCGCAGCGTTCTCCGGCCCGCGGAGCGCCGCGCCCGGCGCCGCTCCCGCAACGCCCGCGCCCGGGGGCCCCGCTTCCCCCGGCCCGGCAGCGGCGCCAGGGCTCGGCGCAGCCTCCGCGCGCTGCCGGAAAGACACAACCCCGCTCCCTCCCCCCCCTCCGGCTTTTCTCCTCGCCGGCGCTTGACAGAAGGGTCACGTGGCAGCCGCAAAGCGCCTCTTTGCGACCTCAATGACAGGCAAAATGTGCGACAGACGCTTTGCGAGCCAGGGAGGAAGCAGCGCTGCCTCCTCCTCTCTGTGGCACGGCAGCGGAGGGCGCCGCTCGGAGGGGCCGGCTGCCCCCCTGCCCCTTCCGAGCCGAGCTCCCCCCTTCCCGCAGGCGCACGCCGGGGACCCCTCCCGTTCTCCGACGCCGGAGCGAGCCTGAGGAGCGGCCCCAGGAGCGGGGGAGCAGCAGGGGGATTGTCTCGGCTCGGAGCTCCCATGAGCTCTTAGCCTCCCCGCCCCGGTCCCCAGCAGCAGCAGGCTCCAGGTGCACAGTGCAGACAAGAGCCGGGGACCCGGCCGGCTGCAATGGCGTCCAACATGGACCGAGAAATGATCCTGGCAGATTTTCAGGTACGTTTCAACCCCCGCCCCCCCCCCCCGCCTCTCAGTCCCCCTCGCCCCTCTGCTTCTCTTTCTCCTTATTTCTGTGCCGCCCCCTCTTCGTGCCGGGGTTCGGCTCTGCGGGCGTGGAGCCCCCCGCCCCCCTCAGCTGTTCGCTCGTTTGTTTTACCCTGGTCAACCTGCCCTGCTCTCCGAACTCGCGGCGTGAGCCTGAGCCGCCTTTGAAACACGCGCAGATCGTTTCTAAAGGCACCTTCATCCCTGCCCCCCTTCCCAAAGCTTCAGACAAGCCATAGCCTCGCTCGCCCACTCCAGGCAAAATCCTGGAAGATACAAAACTCATTTCATCTCCCCATGGTCACTGTGTGTAACCTCTTAGCTGTCAATAGGCCACTTGCTGTGCTGGAGATGGGTGCTCATCTCCATCATAAAGTAAACATCAAGCGCACTGGGACCATGGCTGCCTCCACCTGTGATAGCTTGATTGAGTAGGAAGTTGTTTTTTTTTTTTTTTTTTAATAAGAATGACGAAATATATATATATTTGTAAAGAGAGAAACATTCACTGGGAAGTCTTTCACCATGCAAGGAAGTTTAAAAAAAAATCCACAGAATACCTTAATTTCAATCCCAAAGCCAGTGTTTCCAATTGAAAGTGATATTTAACAGGTTTGTGGATATTTAGTTAATCAGTTCAGTGTAGTAGCTTGGTAGCTTTATTTTTCTATAATGTTTCCTCATGAACAAGTTAAACAGGCATTTACTTCTCTCCCTTCTCCTTTTAAAGGATACAATAAACTGAAATTAGTTCTGAGGGTGTGTGTATGTGTGAAACAACTTGGAAAAGTGTCTTTCATTGTCTTACATGTATTTGTTTCATGTATGTGGTGTTTTTTGTTTTTAATCTTAAACCATGTCTATTGTTTGGTGCATGGGAAGACCTTAAATTAGCTCCCAGGATTGGGGCCTAGGCCTTTACCTCTAAATTTCAAAAGATTGAGCAGTTCACTAGGAACATAGCTTCATTTGGTGATTATATCTATTATTTATTTTAAAAAAGCTTTTTTTTTACCTCTTCTTTTTGAGCGTGTGTATACATGTATGTAAACACACATTCATAAAGATATTCCTTAATAAGAATTATTCGATCATAACAAATACAATTTGTCTCTTCAAAAAATATTCTCCTCTGCTGAGGTGCCTACAAAAAAACTTGATAACGAATAGGCTGCGTGGTGTCATGCTGACCAATTCTGTCTCACTGTTCCCTTGTACTCCTCTGTCTGTCTCTTATTTTATTCTGAGTCTCTGCCCCAAAGAGTTTACAATCTATCTTTTTGTTCTCTGTTTGTACAGTGCCTAGCACAATGAGACCCTGGTCCTGGGGTAGGACTCCTAGTTGCTATGGTGGTAATAACTATACGAGTAAGCAATCTATGATTGTTTATTGCTGTGACAGGTTGGGTCATGTTTTTGACAGGAATGATGGGTGGATATTTTCCTTTTGTAGGACTTTGAGTATGTGACATTGATACTTGTTTGTCTACTTTGAAATTTTAATAGCTCTACAGGCAACCTACATTTTTTTGATATTTGGAGTGAATAGTACTGTGTAAGGAATAACATACCCCAATTATAAGGAGTACTTGTGGCACCTTAGAGACTAACCAATTTATTTGAGCATAAGCTTTCGTGAGCTACAGCTCACTTCATCGGATGCATACTGTGGAAACTGCAGAAGACATTATATACACAGAGACCATGAAACAATACCTCCTCCCACCCCACTCTCCTGCTGGTAATAGCTTATCTAAAGTGATCACTCTCCTTACAATGTGTATGATGATCAAGTTGGGCCATTTCCAGCACAAATCCAGGTTTTCTCCCCCCCCCCCCCCAAAAAAAAAAAAACAAAAAACAAAACTCACTCTCCTGCTGGTAATAGCTCATCCAAACTGACCACTCTCCTTACAATGTGTATGGTAATCAAGGTGGGCCATTTCCAGCATAAATCCAAGTTTAACCAGAACGTCTGGGGGCCCCCAATCTGAAGCAAATACTCACCAACAACCACATACCACACAACAGAACCACTAACCCAGGAACCTATCCTTGCAACAAAGCCCGTTGCCAACTGTGCCCACATATCTATTCAGGGGACACCATCACAGGGCCTAATAACATCAGCCACACTATCAGAGGCTTGTTCACCTGCACATCCACCAATGTGATATATGCCATCATGTGCCAGCAATGCCCCTCTGCCATGTACATTGGTCCAACTGGACAGTCTCTACGTAAAAGAATAAATGGACACAAATCAGATGTCAAGAATTATAACATTCATAAACCAGTCGGAGAACACTTCAATCTCTCTGGTCACGCAATTACAGACATGAAGGTCGCTATCTTAAAACAAAAACTTCAAATCCAGAGTCCAGCGAGAAACTGCTGAATTGGAATTCATTTGCAAATTGGATACAGTTTAACTGAGGCTTGAATAGAGACTGGGAGTGGCTAAGTCATTATGCAAAGTAGCCTATTTCCCCTTGGTTTTTTCCTACCCTCCACCCCCGACATTCTGGTTAAACTTGGATTTATGCTGGAAATGGCCCACCTTGATTATCATACACATTGTAAGGAGAGTGATCACTTTAGATAAGCTATTACCAGCAGGAGAGTGGGATGGGAGGAGGTATTGTTTCATGGTCTCTGTGTATATAATGTCTTCTGCAGTTTCCACAGTATGCATCCGATGAAGTGAGCTGTAGCTCACAAAAGCTTATGCTCAAATAAATTGGTTAGTCTCTAAGGTGCCACAAGTACTCCTTTTCTTTTTGCGAATACAGACTAACACGGCTGTTACTCTGATACCCCAATTATATGTCATTAAGCTATAATTCCTTCAAAGGGTTCTGGTAACCCCACATACAACAGAAAATGAGTTTGGGCTCCAGGCCTGCAATCATATCCATGTAGGCAGAAACTGACAGGACCTAACTGATGTTGCTGGAACTCCATGCTACTGCGAGGATCATGTGCATGAATCCAACTGCAGGATTTGGGGCCTTGGTTTGTGCATCTTACCAGAGTCCTGAAACAGAACGCTTAATTCATATACACTTTGCAGATTGATTTTAATAATACTACTTTGCACTTATATAGCACCTCTTTTTTGGAGGATCTTAAAGCTCTTAATAAAGGTGTGCTGAATAACTGCAGTGACGGGTACCCTTATAAATGTACAGATAAAGGCAAGAAAGTATTACCTCAGTTTTAGAAATGGGGAAACTGAGGTACTGAGCAATTAAGCGGTACTTCAAATGAAACCTAATGAATGAATGGTAGAGCTGAGGCCAGAATCCAGATCTCCAGGTAAGACTATATCTCATAATGCCTTTTTTTTTTTTTTTTTTAAATCACCCTTTCTTCGCCAGCCTCTCATTTGTCTTTTGTATTTCAGTAGCCACGTATTGTGTTTCTGGCCCTCTTTTAATTTTTCCTGCTTCCCATGGCATGATACTGTTTACATTAGTTAAAGGGACATTGTCAATAATTTTTATGCCCAGTTTGACCTGTATCTCTAAAATGCTATGAATTGGTGAGACAGCTTTGTTCTAAATATCTAGTGTTGATTTAAATTTGCCAGTCATTCACCAACAACTTAATAAAAAACAAAACAGAAGCCATTTTGGGGGGGGATTCACCAAAATAATCTTGTATGCTGTCTATGCTATATTTTCTGTTTTTTAACTAACACATATTGTTCTCATCCTTGAGAATAGTGGTGCAAGATATTTTGTTATAATACATTATATACACTGGAAACTATTAAACAAAACAATTATTTTCAATTTTGTTCAATTAGTGTTTGCTAAATGGGAAAGGATAAAATTGGGAGGGGATTTTTGTTTTTCAAACCTCTTTAAAAAATTACCAAGCAAAGGCCACTATCATAATTATTTTTAACATGGGAAGCGCTCCCATCACCACAAAAATTCTCCATTGGATTCAGAAATTTTTATCATTGGATGTTTTCGTTAGACACTTAGGGCATGATCCTGCTCCACTGAAGTCAATGGGAGTTGTGTTGTTGACGTCAATGGGAAGAGCACCTGATATTTACCATTTAATTTTCCATTTGACTATGGTTGTTCTAACTACTTTTGTATTCTACAGCACTAGAAAGAAAACCTCTTGAGTTTTTTGTATTCTTTTGGTTACCTGATTGTGAGATTTACATGTGGTTAGATTAAGAATTGATACCAGTAGCTAAGAATAGGACTACTCAAATAGTTTTAGAAGGCACATGTTATAAAGAGAAAATATCTGAACTTGTAATTCTCTAAGAAGATCTAAATGAGGTTATTTGTACACCACAAGTTGCATTAAGGTATCCTTTTCATTCAAACAGGTTGCATAAGCATCCTGCCTAACCTGCTACTTTTAGGCCCTGTTCCTGCAAAGACTAAGTATATGCTTAACTTTGTGTGCTGTGAGTAGTACCACTGACTTCAGTGGGATTATGTATGGGAGTAAATTTAAGTATGTACCAGCTTTCATTACTGTCATAAATGCAATTCAGACTTTCTTCATTCAGTATGTGACTGGAACATGGGGCAAACGGCAAAAAGTTAGCACTTGAAGTAGGTATCATAAATTCATTAAAGAGGGAATTGGATGTGCATTGCTAAAGGAGCTAATACAGGGCATATCTCCAGTTCATGTGGGAAATGGAAAATATTATTTTAAATTGCCTAACACAACAGGACTTTGATCTATGGCTGGGTTACCTAAAGAGCTACAACAACACAAATAATATAACTTAGAGGCTTCAATCAGAATCAGGATGCCCCGTATAAACACAGAGTAAAAGCTGGTCCCTCTTCTGAAGAGTTTATAGTTTAATTAAGAACTTACAATCAAATTAAAAAGGAATGTCCTGAATTTAAAAGCACAGGTGCTGGTGGATAATATGGTTCTCTCGGTATTCAATACAGTAACTCCTC